CGCCTTGTTTTTTTCTTCGCCTTCTTTGGGGGATGATGATCGGGATATATATTTATATATCTTCCATATACAAGGTGGAACTCAATCGAAGGTCAACAATTTTCCGCTCGTCAGCCCTACTTGAATTTGCTTTAATGTGATCGAAACTATAATTAAGAAGACGACATTGAAGTTACTGGTGGACAGCAACTTACTCGCAGGGTGCAAACATGGCTTTAGACAGAACTACTCTTGCCTATCCAGCTTATTGGTCTCGGCTGAGTAAGGCTCTCACGCAACGGATGAAGATGATAATGTTGAAGTCATTTACGCTGATTTCAAGAGGGCATTTGACAGCGTCGAACATAAACTTCTAACCTATAAATTATTTGAAATTGTAAGAGGAAGAAATCTGCCTGCAAACCTGCCAGTCCCAGGAAGTAATTGAGCCCGAACTATCGAATCTTCTTCTTAAGAGGAAATCTGCTGACATGGATCAAAGATATTCTGACAAGGCAATCGTAATATGTGTGTATCGCAGTGGTTTAAGTGAGTCAAACCCAGCAAGTGCGATCTTCAGACCATGGTTACTTAGTAGAGGAGACGTCGGTTAAGGGTGGAGTAGTATGAAGAGTATATTGTGTACACAAGAGAAAGGAGAATAGATGGAGTAAGTCTGACTTGGGAGAACACGTCCGCTCAGGAGATTGACCGGGTCCCAGGTGAGGTTTTAGCAGCAGTCAAGCCAGTAGACAGAGACAGTGCGTTCATTGGCTAAGTCGGCCTGTGATTTGTTGGACGACGTGTTGTTTGACACAGTTGTTGGACACTGTATGAGTGGTCATCTTCGTGGGCGGTCAAGACAGATTGAAGTCACGACAGGAAGGCCAAATATCGGAAGGCAATGACCCACTACAAGTACTCCCTCTCGAGACAGTAATGAGGATGCTGTAGGAATCCGAGTGGAGGAAGAATATATAAATTAAGTGAGAGAGATACGTACCAAGGTGAGGTTGCAGAACAGCGTGGGCGACTGTGGCTGGAATGACCCAGGATGCAGGGGCGGCTGAAGAAAGCCGCTGGTCCAGTATAACGTCAATAGCAAATCCGTATGCCGTATCAGGATGAGATGAACCAGAAGAATTGTTGGGAGTAGAAGGAAGGTTGTGGATTAGGAAGGAGATCTGGGTGCTGGCACTCATAAGGGGACATCTCCGTTGGATTGGGAAGTAACCATGGCCTGGGCTGAATGGGCTATCGGCAGTAAGTCGCGAATGACCAATCACCAAATACGTCAGGACAGGTCCGTAAATCGCCAAATGCGCAGGGAAAATAACCAAATACGCTGGGATAGTCGGGAAGTCAGCAACTACGCAGGGACGGCAGTCCACATCAGAAGTTGACAGTTCATATCACGTCGGAATGTCACAAATATCGCAGGGGGTTAAGTGAGACAAACCCAGCAAGTGCGATCTTCAGACCATGGTTACTTAGTAGAGGAGAAGTCGGTTAAGGGTGGAGTAGTTGGAAGAGTATATTGTGTACATAAGGGAAAGGAGAATAGACGGAGGAAGTCTGACTTGGGAGGAAACGACCGCTCAGGAGATTGACTGGGTCCCAAGTGGGGTTTTAGCAGCAGTCAGGCCAGTAGGCATAGAGAGAGTGCGTTCATTGGCTAGGTCGGCCTGTGATTGGTTGGACGGCGTGTTGTTTGACACTGTTGT